CTCCTTCTTATTTCCTTCTCCTCTCCCACACACTCTCTCCTCGCAGATATCCTGCAGATGGGAAGCTCGGGGGTGAGGTACCCCAAGATGTTGAGGTTCTTGCTGGGTTTTCAAAACCACCAGGGTTTTACCTAAGGAGCCCCACTTCCACAGGGGAGACTCACAAGGCACAATCTTCCCGCCACTGCACCTTGCACCGAATTGTCTACAAAATCTTCACGAGGTGTTCCTCCTCTGAGGAGAATAGAGGGTGGCCTCAGTGGAATTACTGCCCGTATAAACTGGGCCAAGAGAACCAAACTCTCTGAGAAGAACTAAGTTTTGGGCATAGAGAGAGGAATTCATACTGGCTTCATGCAGGAGCTGCCTGGTGCCTGGCATCCCCTCCTGGGATGCCAGGGTCCGGGGGTACGTGGGTCTGTCCCTGCTCCCCAGCCCGCTTGTCAAGCATGGTGGCATAAAGCGAGAGGGGAGTGAGTGTATCCCTCTCCTTTATCTTCCTTCCATGAACAGCTCTATTGATTGCCGTCGGGTTATTAGCATGGGAAGGTGGTACCCAGTGTGAATGCAAGTGACAGCAGCCAGCCAAAAGAAAGGAAACAGGGAATCAGTTCCCCTCAGAAGGAGAGGCAAGAAGTCCCCTGACCCTGCTTGGACTTACTTTGTATTCTGTGAGGGATGAGCCCTTTCCCGAAGGTTTACAGGCTGTTCTAACAGGCAGGAAATAAACCATGAGAAACCTTCCCAGCGCTCAGCAAATGGAGGCTGGGGTGACACAGGAGAGCACCAGATGAGTCTGTCACATCACAAAAAACACAAAAAATGAACATAAAAAAAACTCAAAACCCAAAACCAAACCAAAGATGTTTTTCTCTCCATTTTCTTATGTCTAAACAAACATGTAATTCACTCCTATTTGACTTCAAGGTATTTTGCAAGGGAAGCACTAATTCTGCTATAGGTAATATTGGGCCAGATTCTCTGCCATCAGCCAACCATACTTCTGTTTTCACAGAGGTGGTCCAGCTTCTTCTGCGCAGTGATTTGGGCTTGTCCCCCTGCCTTATGGACATTAAAAGTAGCATAAAGCTCAGTCTCCAGTAAACTATACCCAAGCTCAGATCGAAGATGATGGTCAGGATTCACAGTAGACCTTGGTGTAACTTCTGGAAAGGATTTCAGAATGGGAACCAAGAGGCTGGAGTGACAGGTGTCACTGATGCAATTTTCCTATGAGGTTTCTTTTTAATGGGTACTTTTTCCCCTCTGACACCCACTAGCAACTCAGACTCATGTGCAATTGTCCGAGTAACCAGTTTTACCTCTCACGCTTAGGGCTAAGTAATGCTTCTCTGATACAAGGGAGTGAAGATCCTTCAGAAATGCCAAGAAAATTTTCTGCTTTTGATCTTTACTAGGGATAAAAATGCCACAGCTCCCTGTCAAAGTTTGTGCCTCTTCAGCACACCATAAAGCAGCCCAGCGGGACGCCAATTAAGCGCTGTGGGATGCCGTGTGTGTTCCTGTATGTCTGTATGTCTGCATGCTTGCATGCCTGCCTGAGTGTGTGTGTGTGCGTGTGGCTGGTGGGTGGCCTGCTCAACATTTTGGTGGATGTTTCATTCCCACCCCTTTTACTACGACCCTGGTTAGGCCACTTTTATGCCAGTGACAGCTTCATGAAGCACAAAACATGGAGCAATACATGGCATGAAATTGGCAACAAAGCCGAGCAAAAGAAGGAACAATTCTCTGGCAGGATGTGATCACAATATGGCTGATTGGATCTGGAAGCAGATGCCAGCAGCGGGTATTGTCCCAGTGACTGAAAAGACATGACCCCTGAGGTACAGAAGACAACGAGGCCCTCCTTATGAACCACAGGGGGAGGGGAGAAGAGGTGAAACCAATGAATAAATCAGGCGATGGAAGCAGGGGAGAAAAGAAAATGCTAAAGAGGACTTTTATGGGGGACAGGGGCAGCTCAATATGCAAGAGCGTTGCCTCCCCAGCTAGCTGAACACTTGCTCAGACAATGGCTTTTTAACAGATGGGAGCCCTGCTGAAAGGGGCCAAGTTTTGTGCAGTTGAGAATCCCTGTTTGTTTAGTCTGCTGCTCAGGCAGGTGTCTGCAGAAAGGCAATCCAGCAGGTTAAGTGTCTCAGGGGCGGTTTAAGACAGGCAAGCCAGCATATCTACGATGGCTGGTTTTATTGGCAGGGGACTGATCTTGTTAGAGTTATTTGTGAAGCCCTGGGGAAGGAGAGAGAAAAAGAGACCTCTTCTCCTTTCCTTCTAAGGACAGATTTTCTCAGTCTGGGCAATCAGGCCCTGGTAATAAACTCTACCAGTAGGGATGCTTCATGTCATAGGTACGAACAGAGCATGAAACATCACAGCTTACATTGTCACAATTCTGTGCTCCTACACACATTTGTTCTTTTCCTCCTTTCCTACAGTACATTTGAAAACCCAGCTGCTTACACTACAGTTTTCTGGATGGGCTTCTTCATCTGTTTTGGCATTTACTAGAGATCATTGAAATTCGACTCACATGGCTCCTGACCTCAGTGATGTGCAATTCTCCTCTGCAGTAACAGAGATGCTGCCATTCTCCTCAGTTAAGGATGACATCCAGCTAAGAAGACTGGTGGGGTTGATTTTTCCCTAGTCACATAAGCACATAGACACCAAATGCCACATACAGGATTGGGAGACCCCAGAAAGTAAGCGCGGTGGGTGTGTGCTGGACTAGTCCGGAGGAGGTGAAAGCCTCACTACTCACTGGATACTTGCTTCCAGACTGGGCAAGAAAATGCTCACTGTGAGAAGGCCAGTGCCAGAGGATGCTTCTCTGAGGACGTCTCCAGAGCAGGATTACAGCCCTAAGCAAACCAGCAAGTGGCAGCAGGTACAGCTTCTCCTTGCAATGTGAGAAATGGCACTAGTTGTAAAATCTTGACCTGTGCCTGGTGTGAGCTGACAGCGCAGCGAGCTGGCTGCTTGAACAACCAACATGCCTTTCTCCCTGCCCATAAACAGCCTCTGATAATGTCAGCCCCCCTGTCTTTCACAGAAGAAACTGCCCTCTGTTGAACCATAAAGTGTTTGGTGATACACTCACCAGCATCCAATCTGGGAAAGGTTTTTGCATGGCCCTATTCAAAATGGCAAGCTTATCACAATGTGGATCATGCAAGGAACACAAAGCATGGGGAGAAGGTAAGAGAAGGAAATGGAAGGGAAATATACACTACACCAGGTCTGAGTGGCAATGGGAGTGTCACCTCCCCTCATGCTAGATCATGGCAATCATGATAGCCCTGAATCTCAAACAACTCAATGAAAAGATAAAGAGACACCCACATGGGTTGGATATAGTCTCATTTGGTCTCAAAGCAGTGCAGCTGTGTTCTGGACAGACCCAGTTCTTGGCCCATGTTGTGGTGTACCTGGTGCAGTTGCAGAGCTGCGCAAGGCAGGCATGCAACATCAAATGCAATATCCACCTTTAACTCCTACCTGTGCTATTGACTTGCTAAGTGGTTTCAGAAAGGAACATGACTTCTCTGTGCTCACCCTCCCCTCTGCCTTCTATATCCTTTCTCTTCTTAAAATACACTGAGAGTCATTCTTGGTAAGCGTATGGATTCTATATGCTCATATATTCTTAGCATATATTCTAAGAAAGACTATTTCTAGCTATTCTTCCTCTCAGGAGTGTGGGTCAGCAGAATTTCCTATGCCGTTTCACCTCGTTTGCTCTGAAACCTCCCTGTAGTCATGATTCACATTGGGAACAAAAACGTCACCTTATTTCTACTTAAGAAGCCCACGAGAGGATAAACAAGGATCGTTACTTTCAAGGGCTGGAGGCAGCACAATGTTTCCATGACTAAATCAGTGCCTTTCTGCCTTAGGCTCCTCTCCCAGTCTCTCTTCTACCTCCAGATCTGTTTTGAAAAGAGGGAGGCCAAATCTTGTTTCCCATATATACTGGATTGCTGTGTGACTAGTGACTACTGAGCCCACCCACAGGAGATCTGCAAAAAACCCCACAAAAGCAGAACTCAGTATATCGCAAGTTTACTCTCACCCTTTCTACTTTTCTTTAAAAAAAACCCCAATCTTTCGCTGGTTGGATTGGGTTAAACAGCACAAAATAGTAACCTCCACACACAGCTGCACATGCAGTTGCATCTTTGATACCTACTTTCTGTCATAAAAAACTTCAGTCTTGAACTAGCAACAGATACAAAGGTTTTTCTAGTTACTTTCCAGTTTGCAAAGCCTCAATATTTTTGGTACAAAGTTGAATATTTTTCTTCAAAGCACCTAAAGACAATGCTAATGCTTTCTGAATTTGCCTCTTCCCATTTAGTTATCTTGGTACTATTCATTTTTAGAGGCTTAAAGTAGGGTTTATGCGGCATTAGTATTCATAGGCACTGCCTAATTTACTCTTATGTTCGGGTACGTAAGTGGGGGTTTTCAGATGAAACAGAGGGGATTAGATCTAGATCACTTGCTCTGAAGAAAAGTTGTAACATGCTCCAACTTTCTGCTCTTTTCAACACAGCACCAATTACTAAAAATAGACTTTTTATTCCTAATAAAAAAAAGTAACTGCTTCAGTCTTGGAAAGAAAAATTATTGTATGCGAGCGTAAGAAAAACACAAAGTCCCCAGCCCCTCCCTCCACCCTCTCCTTTTCACAAGGATGAGGGATTATCACCACTGATCCCTAATGCCACTCTCAGTGCACTGGCTTCGCACTGTTGTGGAGGCCCTGGGTGCACTCCAAGCCCTTGATGCGGGGCTGGCAATAGCCACTGCTGCTTGGGAAGGTGGGCTGGCCACTGACCACAGAGATGCCAGATGCAAGGGCTGTGTTCTGGCTGTTGATTGTTAGCCATTGCAATGGGAGGAAAGTGGTTTGTGTCTGCCTCAGACAGTTAGCACTTGGGGAATCACCCTTGTTCATGGAGGGGAGAACACTGTAAGGTCAGAATGTCCCTTGCCTAGCTTTCACAGGCATAGAAATTTGCTTCCACTTACAGATATGGTTGAAGGAGAAACTCTTAACAAAAGCTTTTTCTAAACCTTCAAAAGCATATGGTTGGAGAGAAAACACACTGCCCTTTTGATTCTGTTATAACTCAGATTTTAAACATCATTACTGTTAAGTACATTGACATTTGAAAGCAAACACAAATTTTCATCACTTTTTCGTGTATTTTTGGTTTGGAAACACGACAATTACCCCCCTAAATTCCATTTATGTTGCGAATTCGATTTTGAATATGTAAACCTCCATGAGATGATAATGCAGTTAGAGGGATGTGAAACAATGCCTTGTTTCCCTCTTGGGCAGCTATAGGGAAGCAGGGCCCAAGCCCTCCTGCAGACCCCCCGCACCCCGCAGGCCCTCCTGCCTTCAGCCCTGCACAGACACAGGCAGCCTAGGGTTACTGTTAGCTTGGATGCTACGTTTCTTTTTGGTGCCCTCCAGCGGCCAAGGCAGTCCAATGGGCTGCGGTTGACCAAGGGCGTGCTCAAGCAGCTGGGGTGGATGGGGCAGGAAAGGCAAGCAGTTCTGCAAGATCTTCAGATCTCTGTACTAGGGAGGGAAAGGTGTCATTCCAGGCCAACTTTTGTTCCAGGGACAGGTATTCACTATTAAGGTATATTGCATTTTTCTTTCCCCCTGAGAAAGGAAGAGGTCAAATAATTTCAAGAGGTCAGAATTCACTGTGGGGTAAAAACAACGAGGTCAGCTGAGTATCCATAGCTACATACTGTTACTTGAAATGTGTAAACATAAACTACTTGTATGCTTGTGAGAGTATATCAAAGCCATTTGGTGCTGCTCATTACCTGACACTGTATCTCAGGTCCAGGTATAACTTTTAATGCTTTTAATGGCTGTTTTGCATTTTGTCCTAATTATGCCACTAATTTGCATCAATAGAAGCCACATAAGCACACAAAAGGACTTTTCAGACAATAACATTCTTCTAACCAAGTCAACCAAAGAAATGAAGCTAAAGGATGACTGCCTGGCCAGACCACCAGGACCTGGGTCAATTAGACATCAAGGTTACATCTAGATGAGCACAGTTCTGGGCATGTAAATGCAGTTATCTGCCCCAGCAAACAGCAACAACTTTCCCTGACACTGTTTTGGTTCATGCCAACCTGCACCTTCTTAAAAGATGCCCAGGTACAATTCCAAAGAGTGCACATCTGCACCTGGCATCACTCACAAAAAGCAATGTATGTGCTTCACCCTGCCCCAGAAGCTAAGAGGATTTACAAGCAAAGCTGCAAGCCAATGGCCTCTGTGCCTGGGAACACTTCAGAGCATGTTTAATTGTGTTGTCTTTTGTAACCCAAAGGTCTGCTTTCCCCTGGGATTCTGAAATTATAGCGGTTGCTTGGCATCAAACCCTAAGGACATTGCACTGCTTGTTTTATATCAAGTAGCAGTACAATTTATTACATAATGCAGACAAAAATAGGGGCTGCAAAGTCTGTCATTCCTGAGACAGGAAATCTTGCTTTTAAAGCTGCACAGATGAATTCTGATACAACCTTTAACCATCATCACTACCTCAGCCCTTCACAAACATTACTGAATTCACTTCTGTAAAGTCCTCATGAAAAGCAATACTTTTTGTGCACTCATTTCCTACATGGGAAATGGGCACTGGGAGATTCAGATGAAGAAAACTCACTTTTTAATTTTTTGAAATATTTCTGCTTGCTTTTTCCAGCTGTTAAAATGGTCCAGTTTTAGCCCTATATACATTCGAAGTACAGTTCCCTGTTGATTTCAGCTACTGAACTAACTGAAGGGCAATTGTATCCAGGTTGCTGTGCTCTTCGTTTATTTTGCATTTAGTCTTGGCCTCAAGCCCAGGAAGGACAGATATCACAATGAAATCTGATTTTCTAGTAACTGCATAAAATGTATTTTCCATTCACCTTTCTCCTAGAAATGTATAATCTTCTTGGATTGAAACTTCACACAGTATTCAGGCATCTAACATAGAAAAGGTGCTGTAGGGTAGGTGGGTCCAGAGAAAAAGCTGGTCCTGAGAGCTTTTCTGTTGGCACTACTCTTTCCAATATTTCCCTGCAACAGCTGGTCTGTAGTGGTGAAGTACCACTACAGTGGTCTGTAGTCAGTGAAGCTCGCTTTTGGGAACAAACTGGCTAAAATTACTGTTCTTGTTTAGGTAAAGAAGGCCCTGGCTGGTGCAAACGGTTAAAATGGATAATGGGAGTAAAAAAAAAAAAAAAAAAAAAAAAAAAAAAGTGCCATTTAATGTCACTGGAGCTGCAGTCCTGCCAGCCCTCAACATTTACTGCGAGTTTCATAAAATAGTTAATGAAATACTCCAGCAGAGGCTGGGCTGCACAAATGCATCAGGTTTTCCATGGAAGAACATCTCAGTTCTTCATGCAGCACTGAGAAGCTTGAAATCACCACCCCAACGCATAAGAAGAGCTTAGAAACCAAAAGGCCCCCCCTGCATTTCCCAGTTTGTGATTTCTGAAAAGCTTACCATTTCTAAACCAGCTTTGTGTTACTTTGGTCCCTGCTTGTGCAAGGCTTAGAGGCGCAGAGCCAAGCAGGGACCCCCTGTCAGGTCATTCTGCATATGATTTTTGAGAGTATACCTGATCATGAGCCTGTCCACAAGCAAGTGGGAAATAATGCCCTCCAGAGATGAGTGTGGCACATGCACATCCTAGGACACAACAAACCTCCCCAGCTGACCTCCTCTGTGTTGCGAAAGCCATCCTTAGACATCCAGGGCCCAGTCTGCCTTGGGTAGCAATGTCTGCTAACTGGTGTTGAAGCACAGAATGAACTGAACATGTTGTTCTCTTTGTAAACTGGTTTGAATGGACAGAATGCTTGACAGACTGGAGCTTCCAGCTCTGCTTGTTTAGCAAGGAATGCTCTCTTAATTTCTTATTGTGGCACACAAGATTTAGTGCAGATCCTTTAATTTAAATGTCAGAATGTGAGCAGTAATTTATTTCCATAAAACGAAAAGCAATAACGTCAAATATATTAAGCTCTGGCTGTGAGAGCTGAGATTATACAATTTATAATTGTACAAAACACAAACAGCAAAAAATTACCCCACAAAGGATGAGTTATTATCACTCACTTAAGCGTTGATTCAGGGCTGGAGAAAGCAGTCGCAAGAAAATTAAAAAGAAAAAGGAAACAGAAGGAAAAGCCGAAGTACCTGGGACACTGAAAGGCCCTTGGTGACAGCCGAAAGTGGAGAGCAGGCGCATCTGAGGTCTCCCTTCACCTGATGGCCTTCCCAAGCGCTCCTCTGCTGCTCCTCCATGCTTTGCGCTCTGAGACTTACTCTGACTTCCCATTTTCATATTGAGAAACCGAGTCTTGGCTACAACCCATCATTTTCATATGTACCTTACACCCCTAAAATGACACTCCCTGACAAACAATAAGGTATGTCCAGGAATAAGATATTGTGTTCCTTGCAGCAGGGACCATCTTTTTTCAGCACCTGGGACAGATGAAACCTGGTCCTCAGTCAGGTCTTATCAGACACTAGTGGTAACACAACTCACAATGTGACACAGGCATTCAGATGCTGATTAGCTGCGCTGAATCAGAATGACTCCACATACAAGTAAAGTTAGATTGTGAAAACACATCTCTCTGAAAGGAGCACCAATATTTCAGATGGTATCTGCACCAGAACTTCTCCAGGAATTTGGCTCCGATCCCCCCTCTGTTAATCTAAGCTGTCCATAAGATGACCATCTAGTAACGAGGAATATCTGAATTATCCTGGCAAAACCTAGCATTTGGAGGAAGCATGTAAACATCAAGGAGCCCAGTTAAAATGCACAATGGGTAAGACAGCCTTGCTACTGGTATTTAATTGACAGAGAGGCAGAACTGAGGACAAAACCACCAGAAATGCCATTCAGAGATTGATTTATACCACAGCTTGAACTATTACAAAAGCCACTGAAGCAGAGCTACAGAAACAAACATCTGGTGGCTGCAAACCTGCCAAGCCTCCCCACTTTCATGGCTGACCCTTACGCTAAATGCTGGGGAGAGGCTAAGAACAAATTTGCCCTGTGCACCATTTCTGGAGAGTGAATCACAGGCCCTCCCAGGTCCACATGGTTGTTGGGGCTAGAATGTGCTGGTCCACATTTTTTTCCCTTTGACATAGTAGAGGCTGGAAAAAAATAGAGTTGTACCAGGAAAGTCTACAGTCATGGAATCATTTAGGTTGGAAAAGACCTTTAAGATCATCAAGTCCAACTGTTAACCTAGCTCTAACCGCATGTACACTTCTTTTAAATAACTCCTGGAATGGTGACTCAGCCACTTCCCTGGGCAGCCTGTTCCAATGCTTCACAACCCTTTCCATGAAGAATTTTTTGCTAATCTCTAATCTAAATCTTTGGTGCAGCTTGATGTCATTTCCTCTTGTCTTATCACTTGTTACTGGGAGAAGAGACCAGTATCCACCTCATTACAACCTCCGTTCAGGTAGTTCTAGAGAGCAATAAGGTCTCCCCGCTCCGAGACACTTTTTCCCCAGGCTGAACAGCCCAAGTTCCCTCAGCCAGTTTCTCCAGAATGGATGCAGGAAGGGCTTCCTTGGCAAAAGGTGTCTGCTGTGTTTTTTGAAATTGGAAGAGTACGACTGGGCACAGCTGCAGGACCAGGAGGATGCTAAATTTTGGGACCTATGGGATTTCCTTACTGTTTCTACTTGCAATCAGCCAGAGAATTCAGGAGTGGCTCTTCCAGTACCACTTAATGCCATCACTTGCAAGCTTAACTGAAGCCTGAGGAAATACTGATTAACAGTATTCATCCTGGACTGGGGCTTAGCCACTCCCCTCCTTTTTGCTAACCCTTAATGTATTCATTGCCTTATTTTCATACATGCTGATTGAATAGCGATTTATTCTGCTGGTGCTAGGCTAGTCCCCCCATACTAAATGTGAAATCTTTATTCTAACCAATGTCTAAATCATTGTTTTCTGGCGGCACAGATCATGTGGCACAGATTATTAATAGCTCTGGTCTCTACACCACTTGACACGGCGCTCCAGCTGTCATTCTGCTCCCTGGCTCGTATGATTCTTGCACTGGTAAAGTGCCAGGCCCGGGCCGAGCCCATCAGTCACTGTCACCCACCACCCAGTGATGAATAGCCCCACGAGCACCGTGGCGAGGCCCCAGCTCCCGTTCACACGCGCCTGACTTTTACCGGCTCCAGCACACCAGCTGAGGCCGGTCCCCGCTGAGGTGGGCCGTGTCGACCTGGAAAGACCACCCCCCTGCGCCCCGGATTAGTTAAAAATGAAACAAATCCTAATGCGATCATGTCACTAATTATGCATTTAATTCAGTTATAAGGAGCTAATGGCTCCCCCAGTGACAGCTTTTACTGGTAAAAGGCAATTCATTCCTGAAACTGAGAAATCTAATTACACAAAATGCTTCGTCCTAATCCTTTCAAAGAATAATCTTATTTGTAGACATTAACATCCCAGATGCTGCTGCTGTTTGTCCATTATGACAGTGTTTGTCCTGAATAATGTATAAATAGCTCTTTCTGGACAGTTGCATGTCACTAAATCAATACAATTTGCTGCCTTCTGTTACATTAAGTCAGCCTG